GAAATAGGAGAAATGTTGTTGAAAATTGAACTTCACCAAAATTAAAAACTTTCAAGATACAAATTATATCAAGAAAGTCAAAGATGGCCCAGCCAGCATGGCTTGGTGGTTGAGCATCAATTTATGAACCAGGGGGTTGAGGTTCAATTCCTAGTAGGGGCACATGCCTGGGTAGGCTCAATCCCCTCCAGTAGGGAATGTGCAGGAGGCAGTCAATCAATGATTCTCTCTCATCATTGGTGTTTCTCTCTCTAGCTCTCTCCCTTCCTCTATGAAATTAATAAAAATATATTTAAATTAAAAAATATATATTAAGAAAAAAGACATCTTATAAAGAACTCATTCTTTTGAAATTCAAAATAGTAAGATGTGATTTTCACTAGATGGAAAACATGAATATAATGGCTAGAGGTGAGATTTTGTGTATGAGGGGATGTGGCAGAGATTTAGCAAACTGGATCTAAAATTTTAAATTATTTACATACTAGAGGCCTAGTGCACGAATTCATGCATGGGTGGGGTCCCTCAGCCTGGCTGGCAATCAGGGTGGGCCATTGGTGGTCTGTGAGGTCTGAAAGGTTGGCGACCACTGGGCTAAAGTTCCCATTTAGTAGACCGCAGGGGAAACAGCCAAAGTGGTTCCAAAGTCAGATAAACCTAGGTTCATAGTCCAGCTCCACCACATCTTAGTTTTGCGATTCTGGACAATTTATTCAGAATTCTGAGTCTTAGTTTTCTCATGTCTAAAACAAGGACAAGGTAACAGTTGGCACTTTATAGCATTATTATTATAAGAGTTAAGTAAAACATGTAAAGTATAGTGCCTTGTACATAGTAAGTAGTATTCTATAAATGACAGAGGTTATTACTATTACTAGTATCTTTACCAACAATGTGACTTTTTGTAGCAAACCTGAATCCTCATAAACATACAAAGAATCTTTTTTTGTAAATCAGCAAAAATTCTGATTTTCATTACTGGAGATAGCCAAAGAAAAAAGCCACTTTGTAGAAAAAAACTGTTGGTGACCTGGTCCAAATATTTCATGACAGTAATTCCTAAAATATTTATGTTGAAGTTTCTGAAGTAAGCACTATTCAAGTAAAAAAAAAAAAAAAAAAAAAAGCAGTAACAGCCCCAGCATTCAAAGGAGGAAAGGGATACTTAAATGATGCTAGATAATTTCTTTGGTTTGTTATATTTATTACATTTAGCGTTTGCCTCATGTTTTTGTGTAGCGATTGAGTCTGGACTTTAAGCATTTTCGGTTTAGAAGAGATTATATAAACAAGCTCTTTCCTTATCTCAGTTAAATATTATTAAAACCACCTTTTGGGCTATTTCTCCCCCACCACCCAGATTTGAAAGTTCAAAATAGACATGAAAAGTGAAATCCTAATAATTACTTCTGAGGTAACTAATAATAACCAATGTTTTGTTGCAGTTTTTAATACATTTACAAATTCAAAAAATTCACAGATAATTTCAATTTATTCATGTTTTGTTACCTTTGAGAGCTAAGTTGAGCATATCACCAGCACGGAAAGAAATTTCTTCTTCAGATAGGGCAGCAAAATCATATTCTGCTCTAGCAACTACATGGTCATCCTCACCACTTGCCCAGTTGGTGTTGTCTATAAATCAAATTAAGAATTAAAATTAGGTTAGTAAAACTTACAAACAAAAGATGAAGATACTTGACTGGCTCTCGTTTGCAAGTTGCATAAATCTGTCAAGAAAAGCTACCCTTTAAATTCTGTAATTAACACTATGTAAAGTCAACAGTATGTTCATTAGAATATCTATTTGAGCTTTTCCCTTTTCTTCAAGCTCAAAATTCTAGCTCCCTTACTTTAGGCCAAGGTTAGCAAACTTTTTCTATAAAGGGCCAGACAGTAAGTAAGTATTTTAGACTTCACAGGTCATGAGGCGAATTGAAGATATTGTACTTATTTAACGAAAGAAAAAACTTTTCCATAAATTTTTTGACAAAACTCAAAATGTAATAAAAATTGAGTTATTTTTTTTATAATACAAGTCTTCTACTGAGAAGAATGGGATTTTGGGGGTGGGAGGGATATTTTGGGGTTTAATTGTAGTGCTTCCTATCATCATATCAAGTGCAAATGTTCATCTGTTAATGTTCATACATAAAAAGATCTGAGGTATTTCATCTTTGAAAATATTTTTTTCATACAGACAGGTACTGACAAATCCTGATATTAATTCACTGAACTTGCGGTTTTAATTGAGTATATCCATTTATAAGCAGACAAAGAGTAGAATTCTATTAAATTCTTCTTTTGTATTAATGAATGTCATGCCATTACATTAGAGATTAATTCACTTCCAAATGAAAATCATTTAAGTGGAAACTTCTTAATTGCATAGTTCAATGGACTTTGAAATATGGACATTTCCTTTGCACTTGCATGGAGATCCCAAAACACTATATTCTTCCTTCCTTCATCTCTGGCTACTCAGACTTTGCTTCTTTCCCACTGGCTTCTTTGCTGTTCACATGACATGCCAGGCACACTACCACTTACATACCGTTGTTATTCCCTACTCCTCAAATAGCTGCAGTCCTTAATCTCTCACCTCCTTAAGGGAAACTTCTTGACTGGGGTAGCACTGTGACCCCACTTCCTAACCCTGGTTCTGCATCACTCTTATTTCTCTTCCTATGGCACTATCCCCGACTTTCACAGGTGACCCATGAACAATGCAGGGGTAGGAGAGCTGACCCCCGTGCAGTCCAAAGTCCATGTATATCTTTAACTCTATAGTCCGTCCCTTGTATCTGCGGATTTGACTAACAATAAATGAAAAGCAGTATTTTTCATCAATGGTTGGGAATGAGAAAATACTGTTTTCGATCCTTGGCTGGTTGTATCCATGGATTTGAATCCTGAAGATACAAAGGGCTGATTGTATTTATTGAAAAAAAAATCAGCATATGAAGGAGAAACTAAGATGGTGGCATAGGGGAACACCAAGATTGCTGCCTCCTACAACAACTTCAGAAATGCAATAAAAGGACAGGACGGTCAACATCCAGAACTACAGGAAGGCTGGTGGAGTGGAAATTCTACAACTAGAAGAAAAGAGAAAACCACATTGAGGGTCAGGAGCTGCGGTAGTGCAAAGGTACGGAGGCTCAAGAGTGTGCGCGGAAGGGGACTGGTACCTGGGGACGCAGCTGGGGAGGGGGTCGCAGGCTCCCGACTGCTCTGGGCTCCGGTTCCGGGAGGTCTCTGGGGACCCGGGACTCACATGGGGAGAGGCTGGACTGTCTGGCGGCAGGCAGAACTCGGAACTCGGGGGCGGCTTTCCCTCAGAGGTGCTTGCAGCAATTAAATTATCAGGACACTGAGACACGCCGGCCCCTCAGGGCAGGGCTGAGAATCCACCATAGCTGCTTGCTCCGCCTTTTGATTCCCTGAGACCCCACCTCACCCAGGCTGCGGCTGAGGCTTTTGCATATGAATGCCCTGACCCTCTGCAACCTGAAAATTACCTACCAAACTGCAGCTGGGACAGACAGACCCAGAACTTCCAAGAGAAAGCCCAAGGCCCCACAGCAGCTTGCATTGCTTCACAGCGGGGCCTCATCTGGGCACCTCCAAACCCGAAACAAGGAAGGGGAATCTGCAGATCTCTCCATAGCTCCTGCTGAGTAGCCTCAGGCAGTTCTTCGGGGCTCTGCCGGCTGTCGTTAGCTAGAGTGATGCTGGCAGCAGTGTTTCCAGAAAATTCCCTGATACTCTGTGTTTCCAGGATGTGCAGCTCCGAAGGCCCCGGGGAGCTACTGGCAGTTTGGGCGCATCCCTTTCTGTGCTCCTCCCCGCTGAACCTGCTCTCCTCAATGTCCAC